AAAAGAGTGAACTTTGAGGTCATGCTGTGCGACTTTGAAAGCCGTTAGCAAGATGAGTGGACGCATTTGAATTAGTAGTATACCAAGGTATCCAGTGATGTAATTTTACCCACAAACGGACTTGAAGTTTTTAAGCTAATTTTTTTTAAACCACTTTTGTCCAAAAAAGCATATTTTTGACCCAAAATCAAAAACGCATTCTGGATATTTAAAATAAAGACAAGTTTTACAAAGTTTGTATAATAAGCTTTCAGAAAATATATAACATGTTGGATATATAATACCATCTTCATTGTCTAATTACTCAATTAAAAAGCAAGCCAAATAAACTGCATCTCTACCTTAATACAGATTTTACAGTAGTTTTGTCAGTTAATAGTATAACACAGTATTGACAGCATCTGACACACAACTCCAACAAAACCACAGGTGACAAAAAATGATGTTTATATATAAATTCTTAAAAATCATATAGCATCTCAATAACGCAATGAAAGCTCATACCATATATCTGGCCATATGCTAATTCAATGTATACTACACACAGAATAACAGGCAATAGTTTAACTCGTAAATTTCCATACTATTGTAACTTGAAAAAGATGTCAAATCTATGGGCAAAGATCCCTATTGCCCAAATACCCAGGAACAAAAAAGATCCCTTAAGGCGTATCTCGTTATCTGATTATCAGACAGGAGATTCTGTAGTTTGGGGTTACAATTGTGTTGTTTTTAAAAATTGCTGTCGTTATGAAAATTGATTTGTCATTCAAAGCTTGTTAGTTTACTTAAAAATAAATAAGATTGTTTAAAATTTTACAATTACTAATGCTAATCCCACTGGAACTTATAAGCGATTTAAAACAGCATCGTAAATTTATTCAAGTTAAAGTGATTAAAACCACGTACTGATGTTATAAGGTCATTAAGATTGAGGATTGCATTGCCATACATGTACAACACTTTCAAACATGTTGGTACGAACATTTGCCTATATTAAACACATCTGTACATTCACTGTAAAAAAAATATAAGGTAGTAAATTTGAACAGTGTCCTGCTTTTATTTGTGGTTGTTAAACTTCATCAATTGAGCTGCAGCTGATACTTTTCATCCGATAAATAATGTTCACAGTTGCCTGTGAGGGCAGTCTTTAGTTGACTCACAAGCCACATGAATAACAATAGAGGGGGCTGTTTGAGTTCCTCTCATTCATAGCTTATTTCTGCGATCTGTAATCAATCAATCAACTATACCAGATCTTGTGATGGATACTGGTTGTGTTACTACAATACAGCGTATTTGTGAAATATTGACAACTTTTTCTTTTTTTGCACTATGGAAGCAATATATTGACATTTACACTGACTATTTGGTAGCCGTGATTAAAAAAAAAAAAAAAAAAAAATAGCAGCTGTCGCTTAGGATAATAAAAGTTGGTTATCTAAACTAAAACTTGTAACTAAATGCTTTTCTAGATAAAAATTCATTTTTAGAATAAACATAAATTAAAAAAGATATTTATAGTACATTCCCTTTTCCCCTTCCTTTTTCCTCTTTCTCTTCACTTCTCCTCTTTTCTTCTTCTTTTCCCACGCAACATGATGTATTTAATTCCTGGATTTGCAGGCCATTCTTGATGAGCACATGGTAGCTGAAATGGAGCTTGTAAGACTACGAATGATTCGTATGTCCCACATACCGGACACGTTGTACATGGTAGATGCCAAGTCTTACCAGAGCAGAGGATATACCCAAGTGGATGCTGTCACCGATCCCAGTGTCATTGCTGGATCACTGCCAGGTATTTATAAAAATTAAAAAAATACCATTTACATTTACTATATAGAATGCTATGTGCTGAAATACAGAGCCGCCAGTTGTAATTCAGAATTCAAATTTTTATTGTTTTCGGTTATCTCCTCTATGACTCATTTGTGTGCACATCTTTACGCTTGCTGTCATTAAGTAAGATCAATAGCAAAGTTGCTCAGTGCCAAATTTTGTTTACATTGGTTTTCTGGGAAAGTTACAGGAAATAATATCTGCAAGGTCACATGTAACTTACTGGCTGTGTTTACATCGTACCTGTGTGTTGTTGCTGTGTGTGGTGTCAAGCAACCACAGCGTGACCATTAACCATTGTGTGAGTCATTAGAAGTCAACATAATGCTGACAAACAACCACCACCTGTTTAAAGATAATGATTTGGGCAATGAATGGCTGTGAATAATTATTTATATATGTGGATGGACCCCGCCCCTCTCCACTCTAAGTAGAAATGGCAATTAAAAAAAACAACTAAAATCTATCGAACAGACTGACCCTGATTGTCTGAGTAGATATATGATGAGCGGAATTAATGTTGTTTGTTCATGTGAAATTAAAACCAACCGGAAGAAAAACCTGTAATCACTTGTCAATTCCCAATATAGATGCTCGGTTTGACGTCATCAGACAGTCTGTAGTGCATTTAAATTACCCATGATCCTTGGTGAATTGTTGTCGTGCACTACTCAGTACAATTGGTGACGACTGATGTTTAAGTACCAAACAAATTATAAACAACATGTGATTGTTTTTGTGTGTGTTTTTTTTTTTTGCGAGTTTAGAGGAAATGTGTTTCAATTTGTTTTATTTCAGCAATTTTTCTCAGAATAAAATGTCTGTCTTTCATCTCAGCGTTAAAATTTCTCTCATAATCTGTAGTATTTTTTCCGTAGAGATGCTATCGCTGTATAGCCGTACAAATTATCAAAGATTTCCAGACTTGTACATTTTATCATGTACTAATACAGTAAAAAAAAGTAGATTAAACTAAATATGAAACCAATGATTCAAAATGAGGTAATATTTTATCTGACATTATTATGGGTTATTTATTACAACAATGATTGCTTCCAGAGCTATTTCAATACTTTCCCCGAGGCATAGTAGTAATTACACCTGTGTGCTGATTATATCACTTACTTATACTGTTTATTTCCAATCGCAAGATTTCGACGACAAGTTGACTCATAAATTATTATTTCCGTGTTGTCTTACAGCCCCTGATGTCCACACGACGAGGGCCATAATGGAAAGAGAAAAAGAATTATGTCGAAGTAATCTTACTCAGCGTGCTTTCTCGCTACCGTGTAGCGATATTGGTGCCGTGATACACGAAATACAGAAGCGTGTCGTCCGGGAATTCGGCCTGCCAGATGAGGCGGTAGAGATATTCAAGAGTGGTGGAGAAGACGCCAGCACAGACCCAACCAATGATTATTACTCTCATAGCAGGAGAAACGTAGAACAAGAGTGGTGCGGCCATCCAGAAACTCCTGTGTTGGCCAATCCTCCTGATTCACCAGTGGTAAGCATAGTTGTGTTATTAACATAGTAAAACTATTAAAGCCCTGCTCACCTGTAGTTATTATGACTGGATAAATTAACAGTTCATTGTTGTAAATTTCCCCGCCAGAAATATTCATAGTTGGTTTTTTTGATAGTTTCATGATTCATCCTGAAACATGTATTTTCTCAGAATCTCTCGTCTGCCTTCAAATTTGTTCATATACATATACTGTATTTGAACTTCTCCAACAGAGCTCATGGGTTGACTGGACCTGTCATCTGTTCATCGTACATTGTCCGTCAACTTGTTTTCAAGCAACTTCTTCTCCCAAACCGTAAGCTTGATCCTTTCCTGGGGCGGCCCTCTGTCAGATTTGTTCGTTTCATGACCTCACATCCAAATCTCTATTTTTAGGGCATATCTTTGTCATTTTTCGTCAAAAATGTTTTTTTCAACAACTAATTGTCATGTTGCATTGAAATTTGGCATGAATGTTCTTGACAAGGGCAAGACTCTGATTTACTAATTTCATTAGACCATATGCAGGTGTCTATTTTTAGTCAATATTTTTGTGGGTTTTTTTGCTAATTTTTTAATTCTCCAAAACCGCCTGCCAGATTGCTTTGAGATTCATAATATAAACACATGGACTGGTCCTCTTTCAAAATTGTTCATTTGGTGATGATATCCCTATTTTTTTCGTGATTTTTTTTTATTTTTTCCCCATAAATATTGAATTTCAGTTCAAGGTCATTTCAATGTTTATATGTTGCTGCTATTAGACAACTGTAACAGTTGGAATATAGTCTTTTTCAGTAGACATTGTGTT